GAGATCTCACTTCCTTATGACCTGGCATCCAGAACAAGATATATATGCTCGACAAATAACTTTTATATTAAAATTACATACACATATGAAACAGTAAAGTACGTTATAACCAGAGACCGTGAAAAGCGATCTTATCATTAACAAATGCTATGTATGAAAATCATCTAATGGTTTGAGAATACTAATTAAGAGAAGTCCAAAGATATATTAATTAGATTAGGTGATTGGAACCTCTATTTAAAGTCCTACGCGATAGATTAAAGTCTTCTTTTAAGCCTTAAAACTATAATTATAACAAAACATTCATTCAAAGCAATTGAAAACTCTACATCAATGGATGTTTAAAGAAAAGTTATACATACAATAAAAAGACTATTAGATTTCATATAACAAGTGTATCAGTTCATTTGATGAGCCTGTAATTGAAAAGGTAGATATTTAAATGTAATTGCTCGAGCCATATCAAATACGGTTTAGTAACGGAATGGTGGCATATGGCCTGACGGTTACCACGTGCCAACAACTGTTACATAAAAAGCGTTGTAGCATTTTCATTGATGGCTAACTAAGCTTTGTTTTGATCATTTAGATAATAATTCTTATAATGTATGATTAAAATGGCAAGTGATGGATAAGTCCAATATGATAGCCAATCGAATTTTTATATCTTTTATTTATATCACCAGTAATGATCGATGCAACATAAAAATAAGATGTTGCTGACATCAATTATTATTTATAAGAACGTATGGTTAGTCATAATTATTGTTAAGTAAATCGAAATCTATTTAAAAGGAGAATTTAACTCTTTGAAATTGGTATAACTACGATTTTTGTGTCCATTAAATGGCAGTGAGAACAGTCGAAGAATATAAAACTTTTCAGAAATACCAGGATATTAAGAGAAATTGAAATTTTATTTCAAAATATTATAAAACTTACTGAAATAAGTGACCTTAGTGATTCTTAAAACTCAACGAATCTGTCTTAAATCCCACATAAACAAGTTTATTTAATCGATGTACACGTATGTACGTATTTTTAGACAGAACGTTGGACCTAACTAAGAAAGTAATATATTGATATTATTCATATTTAACTGTTTAATTGCCGCACCTATAATACTTAATGTATTCCTATCACTGACTTTAAAGCAATAACTTCTAGTTAATATGCGCGGTTATTTATGAATGGAAAACTGGTAACTTTCCGTATGTAGTAACGATGATAACTCATACTAAGCACGAGGGCGAATTTCATGTCACAAAATTTAACAACAAGGTCAAATGTCCCCCCAGATTCTGTTACAAGGGGTTAATGAAGCCTTTTTTAAATTTTTATATAAATGATATTTATTTTACCTTTTAAATATCACACGACATTTAACATATATTTTATATGTGTTTAATTTATGTTTAATTTAATTTTATCGACATGATCTCTTATGTAATCATAATAAGCCTTTCAGAGCCCACTACTTAGCAAAGGCCTCTTCTCACATGGAGAAGGTTTGAGCATTAATCACCACGCTTGCTCAAGACGGGTTGTTGATTTCAAAATTATAATTTGATATAAGTCCAGGTTTCCTCACGATGTTTTCCTTCATCAGTCATTGGTGTCTAGCTACTCTTAGAAAGTACATATAATTTTCTCTCTACATACGTATGTGGTAGAATAAAGTATGTTTTGACAATACATTAACATAGCTTTTCCAATTAATCAACTGATATGAACGCTGTAATTTAAAATGTCCTCCACCACACGTGATACTAACTCACCCCAATATAATCCATTTAATTAAGTCACACGTGTTAAAATTTTGACTTTATAACGATTTTTAAATATATACTATAATATGTATACCTAAGAATAATGGGATTTTTTAAATAGTTTGTTTTCTATTATTTGTGTAATCATTTTTAAAAATTTCTAAGCTTAGTATAAAATCCACGTGAAATTCTAAGATATTTTTCACAATTCACAATAAGTAAACTGTTACTAGGTACTTATAAATAATATTTAAATTATATTATTAGAGAAAATATTTCTTATAGAAACAACTACCAAGACTTTTTTTATATAATTTGCCATCGCTGAAGTTGCATCAAAAAACTCCTACCTGCAGAAGAGTGATCCGTAATTTAAGTTTTTCTATAACATGATGAGCCATTATAATGTCATAAAACGTTTATCAAAACCCGGAATGCTATACGAATTTCCTCATTAACTCAACTCTGGGTTTATTTATAATTATTAATTGAAAACATCATATTTTTCACATCGCAATATATATATTTGAATGGCTTTTAACTGTAAAAAAACTGCAATTTATATTCAAACAGGAAAGAAACAATAATCATCTAGTCAGTTGTAGCCTAGTGGTTAAAAGGCCCGCCTCTCATGCACGAGGGTGCGGGTTCGATCCTGGCAAGTACCAATGTGATTTTTCCGAGTCATATGTACTTTCTAAGAGTATTTACACATCACTGATTAATGCATTCTCAAGGTAGATTTATGTCAGGCAGGCGACCGGTCGTAAAAAACGATTGGCCAAAACTGTTCACAACATGTAAGGCAGACCCTGGCTAAATCTGGGAAATTGCCAGGTAGAAGGAAGGAAAGAAACAATAAAATTATATGTTCTTATAGCCCCAACAAGGATTAACAGGCAAAGAAGGGTTAAGTACCTTGTTGTTGTAACAATCGGATTGACATTATCTCTAATGATCAAATAATGTGACAAACATCCCCAACCCTTCACACCTAACGGTGACATCACTTGATGAATGACAAAAACTTACAACTAATAATATGATAGGACATTTGACACGTGGTTTTTTGTACCTCTATGAAGAACAGTTTGTCAAATATACCGCTTGTCATCGGAATTGCGTGCAGAGAGGATATTGATGAAAGCAAGCATAAATCTATATATAGTGCAATGTAGTTTTATTGTTTATTAAGCTTTTCGAAGATTTTCCTCTGACCTATAGGTAGTTCATTATTTTTATCGCGATATTCATTTATCACATAGTCTTGCTAGTGAATTGCACTGCTGATTATAACTGCATGATTAGTAGAAGTTACTATCGTCACACTACATACGACACGGTTCCCTTTTCTCAATAATAACATAAGTTAAGAAACTAAACTTCCCACCATTCAATTGATTGACCGTAAGCATACTGTTGTCAACAATATTCGTTTGCTCTACGATGACAGTAGCGTGAAATTGGTTTGATTTTCAAAATATATTATTGATTATTAACAATTCGGAGCACTTAAATATGTATAAAAATAATGTTCTATGTAATAAAGATCATTTAACTTCAAATCTCAGAAGCTAATTTAAGTGAACAAAAGCTTAGCATATTGATTTAAAACAAAAATGTATTAAACAAATATAAATATACAGAAAGTAACAAAATGTGTATTAAGAATAATAGGTACCATCTCTCTGACCATGTTGAAAAATTTATTAAAAAACAAAAGAAATATAGTCAAGAACAGCGGAGCAATCTAAACAAAAGAACTATGTAGTTCAAAACAAAAGATCTCATATCGATACTTTACGGTGGAGTTTTTAAAGTAAAAGAAAATATGAGTATTTTAATATAAGCGCCATCTATGAATAATGTTTCAAACTATTTACTATGAGTGGACGTCAATCATCTTATGTAAGGTTCCTTAAATACTGCATAGATGGCAGCACTTTGAAATACTTCAGGATTACTGGTCTATTTTTCTTATGAATAATCTATTCTTAAGGAAAACTGCAGCTGTTAACATTTTTATATAAATTTAAAAACGATACATTAATATCTGTTTAAAATGTCCTGATTCAACAGTCAGAAGCACATAGGAATCTTAGTTTACGATCAATTTACTGTTAAAATTAGCAGAGGGTTTATTTTTTCTATAAAAACAACCAAAATAAACTTATTAATATATTTCATAATATAAGAGTGTAATAACAAAATAAATTTGTTCCACGCTTGTAACATTAATCAGTCTCATGCGGAATTATTCGTTAATGTTTAAAATATCTTGAGATTGTTCCGTTATCTACATCAGTAGATCAGCCCTCGCTGTTCCAATTTTTCTCTAACTTGTTCAGGTTTTGGCCAAAATATAATAAGTAGAGTTGATCCTGTAACCACAAAAATTCTTAAAAAATTGTCAAAAAAAATCATTGAAAATATATATCAATCGTTTATGGCAAAAGTTAATAATATTGCATTCATTTATTTTGTACTAGCTTTTGCCGCGGCTTCGTCCGCGTGGAATAGTGACTTCCGCAGATTTTTGGTTCTTCCCACATAGTTCCCGTTCTTGCGGGGTTTTCGGAATGGTCGAGTTCCCGTAGAATTTTCAGGATAAAACCTATGTTTTTTTTATTCACAATGAAGTACTCTTTACCAACAACATATTTATTTGTTTATTTGAATAAAGATTAATATTATTATGTTGATACAACTTAAACAAATTATTTCGACCAAATTAGGTACCTACCATAAAAACGGTTTTTGTGAGTTAATCTTAAAAGATAGACATATACTGTCGCGGACTGTTTTTTAGATCATTAAAAGAGCTATTATTCTTTGATACATATTTTTTGTGTATCTTGAACCTTTTTCACGGCGCACGCAACGAAAGGCTTCAAAGATGAAATAATATCTCCCGTTTTTTACACATTTACCACTATATCTTTGCTCCTATTGGTCGTAGCGTGATGTTATATAGCCCACAGCCTTCCTCGATAACTGGACTATCCAACACAAAAAGAATTATTCAAATCGAACCATTAGTTTCGGAGATTAGCGCTTTCAAACAAACAAACAAACAAACAAACAAACAAACAAACAAACTCTTCAGCTTTATAATATTAGTATAGATTTTATCAATTATATATCATCTTTCATTTAATACAATATTTGGTTGACCAAAATGATTAGGTACACAGAATTAAAAAAATAATCTGACAATCTTCTATTATGATATCATTTAAATGGCAATATATGATCTAAGGGTCTTTTACCAGCAGTGAAGGCTCCAAAAATACAAAAGGCCTGTTCGCAGTGCAGGTTGAGGGTGGCTCCCAGCAGGTTAGAGCCCACAGCAGCGCCAGTACGACCGACCATATACATCACACACATTGCCATAGCTCTGGAAAACACCATGAACAGTTAATACCAGTTACCCGTATTATTTTATTAGGTCGTAGATCCTAATCGTCATCAAATTACTACTCTGAAAGAAGATCGGCGTGAAGTAGCCTTATACGGCTGCTTTTCGACGGACCAGTTACAGAGCTAGTTTTGACCTTTCCTTTAATCAAGTCTATCCTGCGCTTTCTTTTTTTCTATCCTTACCTCTCCCTCTTCCTGGCAACAGCTCACGTGGGCCGTCTAAACGGTAGCTCTCTTTGTCATAAAAAATTTACTACGGAAAGTGTCTATTGAAATAAATTTTAAACTTTTCTCATTTTAAATGTATTGATCAACTATATGTTAATTTAAAAAAAAACTAATATTTTCAGATTTACTACATGTTTTATTTTATTTTAACTCCAAACTTCGACGTTTCGGTTACTTTGTAGCAACTGTGATCACGGTTTTATTCAAATGAATACTCGCGAAAGTCTTAGATCTCATTATGTATGCTACTTATATAAAAACTCACAGAAAAACTTTTAACTTATATAATATAAACTTATACACTGATTCGTAGTTATAATGTTCTGAAATAGACGGCTCAGTTATAACAATTTTAAAATAAAGACACATTCAAATTGGTAATCCATTTTACAGTTATAAGCCATTGAACATCAATAAATAAGCTTAACACATGTTTTATACCACTCACGAAGCGTTTGACGTATTAGCATAACCATTGCAAATACTACATATGTATACATGTAGAAGAAATATGTAGTAGGTAATGGAAAGCTTTCAAGGCTGCGTATTTAGCATGGCGATGTCAACTGGGACTAAGCGTTCAAATAGTTATCGATTTTTCAAGTAAGTAAACAAAGCTATTGTTTTAAAGATTACAATTAAATAAGGAAAAGCTTAAACTTAGAAAAAATATATGTAAATTGCATCTCTTTATTCGACAGACTATAAATATGAAATGTCAATACTTAGAACTTAGATCGTAGTTTCAACACCGGCATGTATTTAAACCATTCAGGTCATACGCAATAGGTCAATGAACCGTCGATCTAGTGCAAACAACTCTGTCAAGTTACTTTGGTATGTAACTTACGTCTGTGTGCGTCAATAATTACATTAACTTGGCATGTTTGTTTGTGTGTGTTAAACTAATCCTCGCTACCTGAATACTGGCATCGGAACAATGACATTGGCACCTTTAGTACGCGTTTGTTTCGATAAACTACATGTATATACAGGGTGACTGGTGAATTACTATCGATACTTGAGGACGTGATATTTGACGATCATATATGACAAAATAAACATTAATATAACATAAATATTAATAAACTTCTAAGTAAAGTTAACCAAAAGTTATGTAATTAATTACGCATCGTGTGAATACCCTACAGATTAGGTATACACACACACACACGCGTTTGGCGGCGTGGTGTTGTATCAGCACGCCGCCGCACGCGTCCACACTTGGAACACTTGGGACGTGTCCTCACTTTATTTATTTATACGGAAATTTTGTCAAAAATTAAGTACCTATTTTTTTTACATAATTCGAATGAGAATCATGTACCGAGTATTCTCCTTAAATATTGATAGTAATTCACCAGTCACCCTGTAGTTTAATTTGACTTCGAAAATGATAGTTAAAATAAAGTATTATGAATGATTAACTAGAATTCAGTTTGACTGTACAAATTCGTGGTAAATTCTGTGTTCTCACCGTAAGCAAGTCGGGAATACATCAACAGCAATAGCAGCAAGAATTGAAGCAGCACATCCAGAACAGAGAGCCAGAATCAGCAATGCTGTGGCAGCACCGCCTTGTGGTACGAAGGCAGCACCAATAGTTGCAGCACCACATATCACCATTATACACGCTGTGGTCAAACAAAATGCCAAATTTTATAATCAACTTGATAAAAAGTCGTGAAAAATCACTTATAATAACAAAAAATTTAATACAAAATATTAAAGTGACTTGACCCAACGGAAATTAATATTTAAATGAAATGGAAACACAATTTTAATAAAAACCGTAATTATATGGATTGTAGGACATTAATATTTGCTTGGTATGCAGGCTGTTTAATAAACGTTTAACACCCAAATTACATATTTGTTAACCTACAAAAAATTGTTTCAATATTTATATATTACTAGCTTTCCGCCCGCAGCTTCGCTCGCGTGGAGTTCGGTTATATCGCGTTTCCAAGAGAACCTTTCAAAAGTGTGGGATAAAATCTATCCTATGTTCTTTTTCAAGGTCACCTCTATCTCTGTACCTAATTTCATTAAAATCAGTTCAAATTGTGAACTTCAAACAACGCTTCGTTTTAAATGAACTAATTTTAGAGCATATATGTAAAGGAACTTTAATATGAATTCACTCTCTTAAGTTGTATAACTAAAAAAGTGACCCAGATATTGGCTTTTTTGTCAGTTAATATGAATGCCAGACTTACAGTATAACGTTTTCTTGCCAACTTTGCCAATGAACACTCCAATGGCCAGGTAAGTGACCGCAAACACAGCACCCATACCCATTGATATAGGGAACACACGAACAGCCACTTCTGACTTACAACCAACTTGTGATAGAAGCTGCAACAATTAGAAAAGAAATATTAAATAGAAATTAAATAAAAGAAGGAATATATTATAGACGCGGACAAAAACTATTCTTAATATATATAGACTAGTGTTTGCTCGCGACTTCGTCCGCGTTAATTTAGGAATTAGTAATATACTCGTATGTATAGCTGACCGGGCGAACTCTATTCCGCCTGGAGGCCATAAATAATCAGTTATTGGAATTTATTGAGTATTCTATTGATCGAACAGAATTATCCTATGTCCGTCTCCTGTTTCTAAGCTATCTCCACCAATTTTTAACCATATTCCTTCAGCCGTTCTAAGTTATAAATAGTGCAACTAACACAAATTTCTTATATGTATAGATATGTTTGCGTAATTTCTTTTGTTACAAAATGTATAATAACCATGGATTTTTTTGACATAAATAAAAAAGCTATAATAATATTTGCATATAAATTCTCTGTTTCCTCAAGTGTAATTATTCTTTTCGTATTAAATCACATCATATAACTCACTGTGACATTTTTGGCAGCTTCAAACTTGTCCTTTATAATTTGACAGATTGTGATGCTCTCACTGCTCGTACTACGGAGCATGCTGTTCAATATATCGGGAACCCAGACGTAAAGACCGCTTGACCTGTAAAAAACACCAAATAAAGTCATTAATGAATACAATATAAAAACTCAATCAATTTTCAAATCTACCTTCAACTTATTATTCTAAATTTAGTTCTTAAATACTCACAGCATAAAAACAGCGAACATAAGAGTATGTGAGATCAAAACACATCTCAGAAGAGGAGGTCGGAATAATAACGTGATGTTCTTCAACGCTCCCACGAACCCACTTGATTTTGAAGATTCTATGCTGCCCGTGACTATTCTTTCCACCTTGATAAATTATTAAATATATACAATTGAATATAATGGCTTGATTTTAGCGCATAAACTTCCCATAGAGTTAGCAAAAATTATTAGCATAACTCCCAATTAATATAACTTACCGGAAAATTTGATATTTTTGAATTTTTGTTATACGCGAACATTTTAGCAAGGATTGGCAACGCTTTTTCTGGTCCACTGGATGCTAGAATGTATCTCGGACTCTCTGGTAGCCAGAGTAACGCCAGGGCAGCCACCAGACCCGGAGCACACCATGACCATATGAAAACTCTCCACGGAACCATCGTGAACCCGAGTAGAGAGAACGACCATTTCCCAGGGATTATCAACCAAGCTAATCCTGGAACAATGTTACTAATATCATCTCTTCTTTCACTAATTCAACAACAATAAAAGAAATGAGATATAAGATCACGGTTGCTGCAAAGTAAACGAAACATCGGGAGTATGTAGTTTATAATCAAAAATTAAAATCACGCCGTAAATCCGAAAAATATTAGTTTCGTTTAAATAAAGGAAGTTTAACGTAACATACACATTGTCGTAACCAATTATTAGATAATTAGTGTGAGAATCTAGACGGAAAAAATTATCATTGATAGGCAATGTAGATACTTTTGCTATTTACTTAACTTGCTATAAAATAAATTGTCTTAATAGATAATTTTTGCTAATTATATTTAGTAGGGAGCATACTCAGTCAGACTATGTATAACATAAATGAGAAATAATTTTATCAACTTAATTTTAGCCAGTTATATACAAATATACATTGCTACATTCTTCATCTTTAATGACATCGAAGTAAATAAATCTGCTGGCTTATTTTACGTTTTTTCTGTTCTTTTGTTGTTACTTTTATTACTTACTTTGTTGTCATATATGAAAAATTATCACTTGTTTACAAAACGTGAGAATTAAAACTGGTTACTAGTACCGTATTTGCGCGTTATATGAAAGAAAACATTTATATGTAATCACTAATAAGTCTTAATTTAAATAATTCAAAAGTTATCACCAAATAAAGTGAATTGTGACATTTTTTTTTGTGGTACCGTGGTTTTCGATTGGGTCAACCGGAATCGATGCAACTTGTTTCATATGATAGACAGTTTTTAACAATACGTGTTTAATATCGGTCCCGCATTTAAATGTCATTTCTTTTTGAATATTCTGTAAAAGATTTTTGGCGAAAGGCGTGCTAATATGATTATAAAATAGTCATAGGTTTGTTGGGGGTACTTTAAAATTTAATGAGCTGCAGCTATTTGATTTCATTTCGATTTTTTTATCTTAAATTATAACAAAATAATTTTAATTTCAAATACACATTTACAGAATTCCTTTGAGCAATACTTATATCCTTAACATGAGTTTCAATAGTCCGAGAAGCTGTTATAAGACCCCAATTGAATATCTCTTCAGATAAGCCGATAAGAAGTTCATTAGTACCGCTTTTTAATTTTACAAGCTCAATAAAAAATGAAATTAATGCCATTTCAGCTTATAAAATATCTTTAGCGTAATGGCCTTGGTTATTATATATGAAGTTATAAATGTTGGAATATGCTATAAATCAACGACTTGGTTTTAAAACTTAGTACCGCTTTTACTGTTACAGTTTTGTAAATTATTTTTAGATTGTTGAATATCATGGGTCAGAAATACAATTAATTTCGAGAAACGTGTCAAAATAATAATATTTTTTAAATGTATGTAATATTTAAAAAAAAGTCATAAAATTGTAGGATATTGAAGATTTATGTTTTGTAGATTTTTTTATATAGGTCCTAAACACCTTGTTTTAAAAAGATATATAAAAAAGAAAACTCAAATGTGTTTGGCCGTCTTTTATAACGATTGTGTAAATAGCGACTGTCAAATAATAGTCAAATAAAGTTTTTAACTAAATACAGTACGTCGAATGATAAACGGGAAACGTTTGGTTTGTAGTACGAAAAAAAACTTGAGGTAAGCATATTTATATTATACCTACCCATCAGGATTTGATGTATATTTCACAAGATTTATACCGTGGCACTTACAACTTATAACAATGGCTATTTTTTGACACGAAATATCACGAAAAATTGTATAAGAGGAAACCATTTATATCTTTAACTAGCTTTCCGTCCGCTGCTTCGCCCACGTGGGGTTCGGTTATATGGCTTTTCCAAGAGAACCTTTCAAAAGTCTGGGATAAAATCTATCCTATGCTCTTTCTCGAGGTCAACTCTTTCTCTGTACCAAATTTCATTAAAATCAGTTTAGTAGTTTAGGCGTGAAATTGTAATAAACAGACAGACAGAGTTACTTTCGCATTTATAATATTAGTAGGGATTAATTATTAATTGAATTGATCTACCATGAATGTTTTATATATGACAGACTCGTCTCTTAAATACCGTTCCTTTCTAAGTTTCATTAATAAAACATGGTAGGTACACGTTTGTACTGGTGGTAATGAAATTCATTCTAAGGATACTAAATAGTCAATATCCTTAGTCCAAGTATGGATCATCACACTACACACAAGGCGTTTGGAGTTTTTCATAAACCCTTGATAATTTCATCTGCCTTTATTTATGTGTGAAATGATGATTTACTTTATATTCCTAGTAATTACTCTTTTTCTATTAAACCATATATTTAGATTAACATTTGTCCGTGCTGGCTTAGTGGTTAAAGGGCTCGCCTCTCATTGCCGAGGACGCGGCTTGATCCTGACAAGTACCAATGTGATCTTTTTGAGTCATATTTACTTTCTAAGAGTATTTAGACACCACTGACCGAGGAAACCTGGACTTATAATTTCACAATTATAAGTTTGAAATCACCAACCCGTCTTGAGCAAGCGTGGTGATTAATGCTCAAACTGAAATAACTCAACAAGAACATTCCCAAAGTGGGTTGATGTCAGGCAGGCGACCCGGTCGTAAAACTATCTATAACATGTTCTGGGGAAGAGTTATTTTTATGGCAGACCCTGGCTAAAGCTGGGAGGTTGCAATGAAGAAGAAGAATAAGGCAATATATCAAATAAAATATTATTTAAACTATCTCTTGTTTGGTTAAACCGAAATTAAACCGTTTCTCTAATCGAATATTAAAATTTATCAAAATATTTAAATTGATTTATAACACAAAACATGATATTATCGCAATTCAATAACCTTATACATTTGCCGTGACTCAGAACAAAACAGCTCAATATTTGACATACAAATAATATATATGTAAAATAACTTTGACATATATATAAATGGGTTATAAAACAAGGTTGCAATTATATGCACTAAATAGATAAGATATATTGAAATACGACGCTTATCAAAATACTATATACACCTAGATTTGATTATTATATTACGTAGGTTATACATATATTAAACATATGGATTTTTGTCGTAATGTTATATATGACAACTAAGGATAATTTATATTGAATTCATTCTTGGAACGTACTTCGAAGGCAGCTCTAGTAGGTTCTTTTTAAATTTGGTTAACTACGAGTAGAGAGAGGAGCTTGGACGGTGGAGGTGAGCGTTTAACGCGTTAGTTAGGGTCTCTTAAACCTACACCTGGGTCGCAAGTCCCAGTCACTGTTGAAGCTCCTCTCACTACAACGATGGACCCGACACACGCACAGTGAATACATTGAATGATGAGAGTTTTCGTCTCATTGTGGACAGTATAACAAAAATATTATGATGATGAATATTCGTTTCAATGAAACTGAACTTTAAGGATACTATGCCTTTTTATTATTATTTTGTGACCACATAAATGACAGATATATTCATCTCGTCTTCGCGATTTGCTGTAAAGTAACTGAAACGTCTAGATTATGTAGATATAAAACAATAAAAAACGCATAGTGTTCAAAAATACTAGTTTCCTTTCAAAATAATATAGCCTAAATATTAATTATATTATATGACCTCGTATAATAATCACATGATGTATTTGTCGTAAACAAAGTATGTTTGAATGTCAACTAAACGCCTGTACAGCAAAGCTAGTGACATTGCCCTATTATTAAGGGTACGTAAGTCGACTGATCCAATTAGTTAGAGAATCACTACTCAGGATTGAACTTGATATTGTCAATTATCAGCTCATTATAACAAATATTTCCGCTTTTAATATTATTATTTTGAGTATATTAATATTTTTTTTTAGTCTATCAGAGCCCACTGTTGAGCAAAGGCCTCTTTTTCTCGTGGAGAAGGTTTGAGCATCAATCACCACGCTTGTTCAAGACGGGTTGGTGATTTCAAACTTATAATTGTGAAATTATAAGTCCAGGTTTCTTCACAATGTTTACCTTCAACGTGTCAGTGATGTCTAAATACTCTTAAAAAGTACATATGACTCGAAAAAATCACATTGGTACTTGCCAGGATCGAACCCGCGTCCTCGGCAACGAGAGGCCGGCGCTTTACCCCTAGGCCACCACTGACTTATTAATAAATATATTAGATTTATAAAAGTTTGTTATATTAATTATTTAAGATGTTTTTCTAATCTAGAAAATCATGACATGAAATTAGGTATTGTAATTTTATATGAAGATAGATTTTTGATCTCTTTTATGTATGTATATGTGTGTGTTTGTGTGTGTGTATGTATGTATGTATGTTGAAGTGTTATTCACCCAGCTATATGTACATATATACAATTACCCGCATGTATATAAAGTATTTCACTTAAATAACTCGAAACAGTGTTGTTTTTAAATACTAATTACCCAGGTTAATTAAAAACAGACAGATTTTTGTGACAAACTAAAAAAATACTTTATGAGACATTTTCATCTCGTCTGCCCGTGAACACGGCTGTATAGGAACCGAGACGTCGGGAGTATGTAGTTATAAAATAAAAAAAAGCGCGTAATATACAAAAAAACTTAGTTTCAATAAAAAATATATGTCGTAATATATCTATATAAAATAATTTCTCAGTTTAAAAGAACCGCAGAAGTTCAATAGTTCAAACACATTAAATCTTTATTTTAATTTTATATTCTACTTTAATATGAATTAAATGTTCCGGTTCAATGAAATTATTTATTGATTAAGACCATTAATATGTACAATGAAATTACTACGAGATTAAATGTAAAATTTTGTATAAACATTAAATAATAATTACGTAAAGATAGCAAATGTAATTCACCTTTGATCTTTATTTTGGGATGAAGATTGTTTAAATGGTCATTTATTTTTCTTATATTTAATTTATATTATAACTTTATTGGGAATTCCGAAAAGAGTATCTTTTCTACGAAAACTAATTATTTTTAGATATTTTTCTTTACAATCACAACAGAATTATATACAAGTTAATTTAAATTTAATTAAAGATTCTAAGTAATGCGATGATGATGAAAATATCAATATCTAAACAAAGAAATTTTAATGAAATTTATATATAGTCTGATAAAAATCGATTCTTCTTCTACCTGGCAATTTCCCAGATTTAGCCAGGGTCTGCCTTACATTTTGTGAATAGTTTTGTCTAATTGTTTTTACGACCCGCCGCCTGCCTGACATCAACCCTCTTTGGGAATGCATTAATCAGTGATGTTTAAATACTCTTAGAAAGTACATATGATTAGAAAAAATCACATTGGTACTTGCCAGAATCGAACCCGCGCCCTCATACATGAGAGGCGGGCTTTTAACCATTAGTCCACCACTGACAGATAAAAATCGATTATGAAGAGAAATAATTACAAAGATCTTTATGTTGTGTAAAAATTTGGAAGATATATATAATAATATTTACCTGGTAATATCATAAATGAGAATGATATGAACGCTGAGCCCCAAGCGATTGCAGCCGCCCGACGGGAGCCTGTGTGCATCTCGCCGAGATAGGCGTACACGGTCGCGCTGGAGGCTGACACTCTAAATTGACACGTAAAAATATTGGTTGAAGGTCAAATATAGCTTGAAGGTATCAAGGAGATTAGGTTCGATACACACTGGAGGGTAATACAAGTTTTGTTCTGCACGAGATAAGATTAGTAGACTTGATAGTGTGAATGCGTTTGATATGACTTGCTAAATTTATTTAGGTGTTGTGGCTAAGGCCAATCTTTATATATATGTATAATTCTTCTGTGAGTGTGTATGTCACTGAACATCTCTCAAACGACTGGACCGATTTTGATGAATTTTTTGTGTGTGTGTTCAAGGGGATCTGGGAATGGTTTAGATTCACAATTTTGTCCGCTGGACAATGTTTTTTTATGACATTAGATTTGACAACTAACTAATATGTCAATCATTCTGTCGCACTTCAGAACACGGAGATTTATGGCTTTAATAGGTAAACTCCAAAAATATAAATAAAAAAACGTAACAGATATTTCTTGATTATAGTGCGATACGAAGTTCGCCGGGTCTTCTAGTATATAGAATCCTTTCCGTACATAGATATTAAGTTGTACATTAAATGTTATACTAACAGGCATCCAGTGAAGAATCTCAGAACCAGCAGCATCCAGACGTTGGTGGAAAACGAGGATGCTATTGAGAAGACGGCTGAAGCAACCATAGCTGGTAGCATGACCGCCCGCCTCCCAAAACGGTCCCCGAGATAACCCCATAGGAACGACGTGCTTATAATACCTGATGAACAGAAATGGCTAGAATTATAGTCCTGACATACAGAAATGGCTAGAATTATAGTCCTGACATACAGAAATGGCTAATTTATAGTCCTGATATACAGAAATGGCTAGAATTATATTCCGCAAAATATAGAAATGGCTAGAATTATAGTCCTGATATACAGAAATGGCTAGAACATTAGTCTCGAGATATTAATCAATAGTTCAATTAGAAAATACAAAATGAAAAATTAATTGACATAACCAGGAATCGAATCTGAAACCTCTGGAGTATCATGTTCATTCGTTTTACCATTTAATGTAAGCTGAACCGATTACACGAACAAAATTGAACAAAAACGAATGTATGTTTTTTGCGTCAATCCAAATTAATAGAAATTTTACATATTAAATTGATGATAATTTAATAACATCTTTAATAGAGAAATAATTGTAGCCGTAAAATTATTGTCATAAATTATAACAAAGTAAGCTTTGAAATCGTTAGTCTCGGTTTTACTTATAAGGTTTACTAAATAATAGTAAGGATTTTTTTATAAGGAATTATACAATCACACAGCACAAGTTGTTTTCCCTATTCTAAATAGATATATTATCTGAAAAAATATAAGCAATTTTTTTTAACTTAATATGTATAATTAATTCTGTTTAATATCAAATGTAGTGATCATTCTATCAGGTGTAAGGTTACTCAGAACGTGGCTGTAATAAAACACAGAAACTTATACGACTTCTTGGTATTGTACAATGAAATTTTAACCTTAAAATTGTATCCAATTCATGGGTTGTACTATATATATTGTAATATTTACACTATAACTTTATTTGGTTCAAAGATTTATGAAGAATTAACTTCAAATATTTTAAATAAGTATTGATTTTGAACTCTTAACTACTACTAATCTTAAAAAGATTGTTAAATTTTAAGCACAAACTCCGGCCATACCAAGCCACCTACCAATGAAAGCCGCAGCATTGACCAAGCCCTTGTGCTCAGACGTTAAACCAAGCTCACACTCAGCTGCTGTGATGACATAGCTCATGCCGACAGACTCCATGGACACATTCAGCATGATCAAACCACAAGTCATAAGTACTATGTGATTAAACTTGCCGTGACCTGGAATTATACATAATTAGTATAATAATAATAATAAAAATATATAAATAATATTGATATTCCATTAATATTATTCCTATTATAATATTAAAAATAAGGAATTGTAATATATCATGTGTCAAGCATCTATTATTATTGTTTTTATCGGTCGCGAGTAGAGGGTCGTTATACTGAAAGAAAAATAACCATGACAAACATACATATTGATTTATTTTATTATTTACTCGTGTTATTTTTACTATCATATGTGATAAAATAATTAATTATATATATGTCTATATTAATTAAAATTTAATTATGTTAATCTATGTATTATCTTCTTCTGCCCGGCAATTTCCCAGCTTTAACCAGGGTCTGTCTTACATGTTGTGAAAAGTTTCGGCTAATTGTTTTTACGATCGGCCGACTTCCTGACGTCAACCTTCTTTGGAAATGCATTAATCAGTGATGTCTAAATACTCTTAGATGGTACATATGACTCGGAAAAATCACATTGGTACTTGCCAGGGTCAGGATCGAACCCGCGCCCTCGTGCGTGAGACTTTTAACCACTAGGCTGCCACTATTAATCTATGTATTATAATTATCAAAATTCTTCTCAAACTAGAATTTTTCATACAAATTGAAAATAATAACTTTATAATTATTTCTCATTTGTCATAATTATGGACATACAATACACAATTGTATTAAAACTAGCGTCAATAATACGGCTTCTAAAAATCATTCATTTCGTCTTAATTAAAGAAAATTATCATATACTAGTTTTAGCCCGCGAACTCGTCTGCTGTTTCAGAATCAGAATATTAGTATAGCTGACCAGGCGAACTCTATTCCTCCTTAAAGACAGTATATAAAAAGATTCTAGATTTGATCAGCTTATTTTTTTTTCAATACGATGAATAGTATCCTATCTTTTTCCTTGTTCTTATCTATCTCTCCATTAATTTTCATCCAAACCCGTACAGCCGTTCTTGAGTTATAAATAGTGTAACTAACACGACTTTCTTTTATATATAAAGATTTAGGTTACAAGATAAAACATGTTTATCTAAATAAAGACTGATTAATATTTGCACGTAATGTTTGTCGTAAGGTAATATAATGTAATAAGGGTCTATACACATGTAAATAGTGATTAAATTTCATTCATAATTCGTGAGAGGTCGTCAACCGATAACGCAGAAACCTTGTAACTGTGTGACCTCGTCTTAAAACTATATGTGATTATTTTTTATTATTTCTGGCAGAGCAAAGCTGATTTTATATGTTATTATACATTTAGTATAAAAAGGGGGGGTAAGCTAATAATATAATATTAAGAGGGGATCTGGAAAACCCTCCTTACGTGTCAGTTTTCAGCCCCTTACATCTTACAAAACTTTGAAGATAGATATCTCTAATTATTATTATAATTATTATTATTGTCTGTCCGTGATCACGAGTATGTAATTTAAAGCAATAAAAAACGCGTATTACATACGAAAATATTAGTTTAATTTAAATGAATACTCGCGAAAGTCTTATACATATCTCATTATGTGTATCAGTAATTTTAAAAAAAGCATTATTGCTTATTAAGCATCGCTTACTTTAAAAGATGTCTAGAAGAACTACATAAAAATTTATAAAATTATAAATTAAAAAATTAAGTCGCATAAAAATGTTATCAGCAAACGGATATAATCCATACAAATAAATAAAATTGTAGTGTCTGTTTGTAATATTGAAATAACTGTTTTTACGACATGTATATGAATATGTATGCGGTACATACACCAAAATAACATTTGTTACAATTTTTGTCTGTTTGTTCCGGCTAATCTCCGAAATGGCTGCACCGATTGTGATGGGACTTTTATTGGCAGGTAGCTGATGCAATAAGGAGTAACTTAGGAAACTTTTTACTCCTATCCCGAAATTAAGTGGTACATCACGCGCGAGTGGGATTCAGGACGCATGCCGCGCTTAAAACCTTTTTCATTGTTGCTATTTTCTTTTTTTTAAGCAGACGTAGTCGCGGGTAATTGCTAGGTGACATATTTTTAGCGCTCATTTATCATTGACAAGAGAAGATTGTCAAGATTACAGAAGATCAAGATTATCTTAAACAACTATTCAATGTAGAAAAAAAATATGATACGCAATAAAATAATAAAGATATATGCTTTCATTAGTAATATAATATTATTAAAATCATAGTTCGTATATAAAACATAATATATTTTTTTATAAATAAATTTATTTAGTAGTTTCTTTTTAAATTTGGTTAGGTAGAGAGAAGAGCTTGGACGGTGGAGGTGAGCGTTTAACGCGCGTTAGATAGGGGTCCCTTAAACCTACACCTGGGTTGCAAGCCCCGGGCACTGTTGAAGCTCCTCTCACTACAACGATGGACCCGACACCAGCACGGTGAATACATTGAATGCTATAAATTTCGTCTCATGTAATTAATATTATACGATAATATTAAAGTAATGTGTCGAATGATAATAAATGTATTTAAAATTAAAATGTATTACACTAATTTATCAATAAACCGGTTGAAACTGACTAATTTGTGTTAACCCGTCTGAAGGTCGGAGACGTAGACACCATGGGTCTTATAATACTGGATAAAGCAGAAAGACCGAATTCCAAAATTGTGTTTCTTATCGTCAAATACTCGTACTTAGGCAAGATGCATTTTTTGTAATAATTATACTTTGAACTACTTTTATTTATCTTTTAAACGTCGTATTGTTTTTTGGCTTAATTTTTTATATAATATAATATTATGTAGTTCTGTTAGATATTATTTTTAATATATATTTGTATAGATGACCTAATAAAGACGTAGAACAGATTGAAAATAAACCAAAACATGTGCTCTCCAAATGAATTCCTTCTAGTTGAAAGAATAATATTATGATATATAAAATAACGTAATTTTATGTTCATATCTTTTTCTTTTTATATCAATAAATTACTTTGGCACATAAAATTATTTTAGAAGGGTCATTGTTGCAACAATTTTTTTATATATTGTGAAATAAGGAAGTCTTAATTCGTTTTATTTTTCCAAAAGCTTTTCTCATATAATTTGTATTTTAAAATTTTAGTTCAAATAATATAAATACCGTTACATACATTTTTAAAACACTTTGTATGATATTAGTAGGTGGTTGTTATTTTTTTGTTTCTTACTCGCCGTATCAATATGCTTAGTACAAGTTATTTTTGTCACACTACTACATTTCCCGTTTTTACTTCAATAACTTACGTAAAACTGTTTGCGGAGATATAAAAAAGAAATACTCATGACTATCTGTATCGAGTATGATGTAAACTGAGAGTAAACAAAAAGAAACTATTGTCTTTAAAATATATTAACTAGTTGCTTAGATAGGACGTTCTATGTACTAACTACTACGAGTCTAAATTCTACTAACCTTTGTGTAGAAGAAGTGAGAAAGTAAATCTTCTAGATTATTAGAATCTAGATCACCCAAATCTAAAAATACTATCCTTCAATTTGCCCTAATTTCGTATATAATGTCAATGTACTACAACAAATATTTACGAAGTTGTATTTGTAGTTCAATGTAAGTCTTGCTAATTATTTATCCAAATATTTAATAATACATCAATTCCATTAAAGATTATTGACTAAACTGTAACATTATCAGCTTTAAGATGTTAAACCCAAAGATTAAAGTTGTATTAATATCGATTTTTGTAATAATTTAATGAATAACATACAATATTTTAAGAGTTGAAAATAATTACAAAGTAAGTATTAAATAACTAATATAATAAAATAATTGTTTTCTTATAAATCTTCATAAGAAAAATACGCAATCAAATATGGCAATTTTTAATTTTTAACTGTGCTTGTGCCAAAATCAGTTATAGGGTGCAATGAACCATGGTTTGATATTACAAGCAACCTATACCCTTGGTTGCCAAATATAATTTGACACAAATTGATTCTGAATTATCCTAACCACCTTAACATTTACAAAATGTATTTGAACCAAGAAAATTCTGGAATAATGTTAGCTGTACCCACGTGAAGATTTACTGTTTACGAAACAAAACCTGACTTGAAGTAATAAATTATATATTTAGGGAATATAATTTTTATTATAAGTTGTGTATTTTTAAGTAATCAAATTATTTACTTACCAGTTAATTCGAAAGCATCGTCAAACACGACTTCGTTGAGCTTAGACAGACTTTTATCAGCATCTACCTGAAGGTCTTCGGCTTTTTCATGAGTTTTCTTGCTAGCCTCAATGAATGCTTTTATTTCTGTCAATCTCTCTAGACTCCTGTCTGACGAGCTATTATCACTATTATCCATTTTTTTAATTAAAATAATTCTTATATTAACTGTTTGAAATATTTATCATTGTTTTTTTATAATTTATAAGAATTAATTACACATAAATATATTTTAATAATTAATTTGTAAGTAATTTGAACCCCTCAGCCGTCCGCACTCGACGGGTTGGAGACGCGGACTACCTAATTATAACTACGGCTGTACCCATTGCAATTCAGCGAGTGATAAAAAAAATTTACTCCTCACACGATAATCGACTTTATTACAAGGTGTAAAGTATAATAATAGATTGAAACATATCTAATACGCCTGACCCATTTGTTGTTCATGATATAACGCTAAGGACTAAAATGTATTAAATATTTGTTTCAAATAATTTCTTTGGCATTATCAGAGTTCAGTTTTAAAAATGACGTCTCGTTTTGAATTAATTGAACATATTAACCTTATTTTTATATATTTAAGTTTCTTTTTAATTTTGTTACATGATTAGGAACATGTAATGAATTTAAAAAATACTAATGTTCTTATAATTTTTTTCTCTTTTTTTTAGTTTTTAAATAATAAAAATATATACTTAAAAAATATTATTATTAGTACAAATATCAATTAACACTATTTAATTTCAAAGTGTAATTAGCTTTGCTGAGAATTTTGTTACAAATTTTTCTCTTCATAGGATGTTATCCAAATGAATATTAAGGAAAAAATATATATAATATAATTGACAAAAAAGTACATATTGTTCCAGAAACACAAACCATAAAAATAAAATATTTGAAAACTTGATAAAAACATCTCTTTTTCGAGGACTATAAAATTTTATCCTTATCTACAATTATTTACACGAAATTTTAACAAAATAGTTACAAGGCTCTTTTTTAAATTTGGGCATATCAACCTGACTCACAGAGTATTCAATGCAAAATAAATCAAGTCAACCGAAAGCTTACAATTCTTTTACAAAGTAAAACCAGTTTTTGTTCCAGTGAATTCCTACACGAACCTATTCTCGAGGTACTCTCGGCGAATCTGTCCGAATTATTATACATCGTTGATTTTGGTGTAGCGATTTGGTGTAACAATTTTTTAGTAACTTTCTTTGCGAATAAAAACGTTATTTTCAATATTTAAATCATAACCCATTTTGTTAACCAAAAAAACTTCCAAAATGTTCAGTACAATTGACAAACACAGACATTAAAACACAATAATAATAGTAATTTTTATAATTAATACACATGATTTTAATATTTTTATTCGTGGTCCGATTGAAAAACATATATCTTTTAAAAAACCTTTGTTTTGAATACTTTAATTTCGCCACAAATCATTAAATCATCTCTTTGAATTTACACAAATTCTTGAATCAAATCCTCAAATCCTGTTACGCTGACCAAATCCCTTTATTGCATCTGATCTCATCTTCCTCATTCTCCTCCTGCCCTTCCTCAGAACAGCATCCCTTATCTCCCCATCTTCATCACATATACACATTACATACACATACACGTGCCCAAGGGCCAAGCCAGTCAGTAAGTGGTAGTTGACCAAACTCTCTGCAATTATAATCATGAATAAACCACCATGATCGTTTCCATTAACACTAATAATGTTTTATTAATGCTTTCTAAGAGCATCAATTAGTTTGATTAAAAAAATATTCTTCCTCTGGCCTCGTACAAGCAGCACCTTCGAGTGGAAATACAATTTAGGTTAAAGGGACATAAAGTTAAATCAAAATGACACACAGTTGCTATAGAAGATTCACAAAATATAGATATGAATTATGAGAGATTTAGAAATCAATGAATGTTGCAAAACCCGTGGAAATATCAAGAGCCAAATAAGTCAGAATCTCATTAAAATGTTTTTCATTAATATAAATATGAGGAAATAATTATATTTTATAAACGTTTTGATTTAATTGTAATCATAACCTTTGAGAATTAATTTTTTTAATCAGGTCAATGATAATTTGACAATGGTCTTTATGTCAATTGAAGAGGAAAAACAATTAGAGAAACGTTTTCTTTCATATTTTTTTTTACTTTTCTTCAATCGGCCTTTTAAATTTAAATACAATTTATGTATTGCTTTCATCGAGTACTACACTATAAGCGCGGCTTCGTCTGCCTTGTTCAATACATTGAGGAGTTCTCGTATAAATGAAAGTATATATAAATGAAAAGGCAATGCTGATTAAAAATTGTATTTTTAACAACTTCTAGTAAAGTTATGAGATTTTTTTTTTCATGTGAAAGGTGGCAAACGAGCAGACGGTTCTTGATGGAAGGTAGTGACAATCGTCCATGGACATCCGCAACATCTCTGTTGTGGACGCGTTGCCAACCTTGTTTTTTTAGAGATAGGGAGAGGTGGGAATAAGGAAATGGTAAGAAAGGGTGGGAATAGGGAAAGAGCAATAAAGGGCAATAGGGAATAGTTTTTTTAGATATATTTCTAATACTTTCTAATACTTTAAACTTAAAACGAGTAATTGTAATCAAACCAATAGTTCTTACGTGATGCGAACATATTAAATACAGACATATACCTATATGTTTTATAAGATGTACTTCTATTATCAAACTAAAAAAATTATAAATATATTTATTCACTTTAATACAACGAGATATGAGTGTGGTTTTTCATCAGTATTTATTATTATAATAATGTGTTTAAAATAAAATAATAAAATAAAACGTATTAAATCCGAAAATATTAGTTTTATTTAAATGAATACTCGCGAAAGTCTTGGATCTAATTATATTAAGGTGACCTGGTAAGCGTATTAAACGAAAAAGATTGTATATTGTATAATCAAAAAATGTAGACGGTAATCTTGAACTAAAGTTTAATAAACATCGCTGTATGTTACAACTATGATCATGACACTACTGATAACCTAATTTTACGTAATCGTACTTAGAATTTTAATTAATAATAGCGTTAGTAATAATATTACAATAAAATCTTTTACTGACATTGACTCCGAATAATGTAGCATTATGTGAATAAAAGTCGTGGTCGCCTAGTGGTTAAAGAGTCCAACTCTCGTGCATGAGGGCGCAGGTTCGAAACTTGGCAAGTACCAATGTGATTTACGGAGTCATATGTACTTTCTAAGAGTATTTTGACACCACTTACAGACGGTGAAGGAAAACATCGTGAGGAAACCTGGACTTATAATTTCATGTTATAAGTTTGAAATCGCCAACCCATTTTGAGCAAGCACTAAAATAATATTAAGTAGTACTAAATTAGAAAAATCGTCTTCGTTTATTACATATTATTTATAATGAACAATTTTCTGGGCTTGTTGCATAACGAAATAATTTCATATTATCTTGAAATAAAGACTATTCTTACGTTTATTTGGATTACCGAAAAAAAATATTACTCTTTTTTTAAAACTAATAATCGCATTATTATTTACGACTGTATTATAATACAATAAAAACGTAAGCAACAACAGCAAAAACACGATTTTGAGCACAGAATTTAAACGCTGTCCAAAGCCCTTTCTAATTTTTAAAAATCTCAATTCTCAACATGAACTAACTTTTTGATCATTTCTCTTCGACTGTGCACTTCCTTTTTTAGTCGGAATCGATTTTAATGTATCCGGGAATATTATATTCGTAAATAAACAAAAAAAGAACAGAATGATAAATTAAGTAGAAGAAACACAATGTAGTGTTTATAAGAAATAACTGATCAAAAGAAATAATTAATTTTATATCATAGAACTCCCCAGCACTTAGAATTGTAAGTTTTTTATAAAAATAAAATAAAATTGAAGAAATTTGTTTCTTTATCGGCTTAAATACAGGTTCATTTTATTATGTAAAAAAATGCATACATAAGTGCCTTGATACATAATAGTCCAGTCATTATAGTAAGTTCACCTCGGAATGCGAGATACCCAGCTGTAAGTCTGTAAATATTTGTATATTGACACCCTAAAAGTTGTCTCAAAACCTACATATGGTAGGGTGTAAGCAACTATTAAATTTCAAGTTCAAAGGTCACAAAAATCGTTTTTTTGCGCTTTTCTTGGAAATATCTCATTTCCTATGGGTTTTTTGCTATTTGTATTTATTATCAATATTGTAGAATACTAAATTCTCTACAAATTTTGTTTCAAAAATTTTTTTATACGGTGTACCGTTTTCGAGATAGAGGGCGGAGAGCGCGCGGTCACCGCATCACTTCAGGTCAACCGGTGCCTCCGGACGAAAACGCGCCATATATAGTTGATGAACTATCAACAAATCAATGATTATAAATATTTGTCAATTTTCAAAAAGCAGAAGAACGTGGGGATGATTTTGGAGAATTGGTGAAAAGTCGTATAATTTTACAGTTTGATTTGATCGCTGCTGAAGCGAAGTACCATGCTGCTTGTTTTACAAACTTTTCAAATAAATCATCATCATCATCGCCTCTTGAGAAACCTCGTCAAGATAATCAAGTTACAGAAGCTATGTTAGAGATTTTCAATTACATCGAAAATAATAATGATTCTCAATTCACACTAAAAGAGCTTAAAGATGTCTTGACAGGGTATGTGCCAGATGATAAAACTATCATTACAAGACTACAACAGAAGTACTTAACCGATATCGTAATTACGAAGAAAGTTGGAGCTTTCACGATCGTTTCTTTCCGTGATGCACAAGCTAATATTCTATCAAAAGCTTGGTACGAAAGTAAAAAAATAGATCCTGAAGCAGAAAGGCTAAGAATTGTAGAAGCTGCAGCAGCAATTATTATTTATTATTAGAGAATTCTGCAATTACATGGACAGGTAAGTAAGTGTTGTTAAATAAATTAATACTGAATAAAAAGTGGATAAGTTAGGAAAAAAATGATAAAATATAATATAATAGTTAATAAAAATTGACAAATATTTATAATCATTGATTTATTGATAGTTCATCAACTATATATGGCGCGTTTTCGACCGGAGGCACCGTTTGACCTGAAGTGATGCGGTGACCGCGCGCTCTCCG